CCCTACAGCTCTATTCCTTCTTGCTTCAGGCCCTCCGTTGTTCACGTTGTTGCCGTCTTAATTTTCTTCTAACAACACTAGTAGCCGCAAAACCAATAGACTCCTCTTCTATAAAAACCACTCACCAAGCCTTTCTTCCTACAACATTTGTGACTATCTTTCCACTTGTAACAAGCTGCAACCGTAAATACAAAGGATTTATTACCAAGTACGGTATGAAGACGTCGAGTTTCACTTTGGAGGCTAATTGCCTCTTGTGTGGTGATTACAATAAACTTGGTCAAACAAAGGACATGCGCTAGAAAATATATGAAAAACCTGCAGAATGGAAACCTGAGTAATGGAGGAAATATTAAGTCAGCAAGGCCCATATTTTGATCTCTTTTGAAGGGTTGGTCAACCTTTAACCCTTTCACAAAGGAACATCTGAAGATGTTGAAGAATCTTATTTCAAGCATGAGTGAGTGGCCAACCAACTTGATGATACACTAAGGTATCATGTCCTTTCTCTCTGAAAATGGAAGATTTTGACCTCAGATATGATCACATAAATGGTGATATGCATGCTCTCACCAACTATCAAGAGTTCACCTACTCCAAATTTGTCAAACTTGCTGATGGTTCCCACTTCAAAATTGTTGGGAAATGAGAAGTGAAGGTCTCCAAAGATATTAAGTTCTCTTCCGTGTTTTATGTTCCCCAATTAGATTGCAATTTATTGTCAATTAGCAAGTTTACTAATGCTTGAACTGTTTTGCTAAATTTCATTCTAACACGTGAATTTTGGGCAGTGGATTCGGAGAAGGTGTTCCACAGTTATAAATTGCATCAAGGTCTATACATGCTCAAGGAAATCTATTCTCTTAACACAAGTGTTTTCTTCATCATCATCTTCCCATATTTCTTAGTTTGTGATGGCTGATTTTGTTGAATGTCAAGTTTTATTATGACATTGTTGTCTTAGTCATCCCAATTTTTATTATGTTATAAAACTGTACCCTTATCTCTTTATTAATAAGAAAATCAAAGTTTATCGGTGTGAATCCTGTCAATCTTCTGTCCCTGTAGAAACTCACATTATTTTTCTATCATTCATAGTGACATTTGGGTACTATCAAAATTGAAACCAATTAATGTAGCTAGATGGTTTGTCTCTTTTATTGATGGCCACACTAGAACAGTTGGATATTACCCACGAAGGAAAAATTTAGAACTACACAAACCTTTTAGTTCTCTCATAATACGATTTCCACTCAGTTCCAATGCAAAATTTATATTCTCAAAATTATTAATAGAAAAGAATACTTCAATTATATCCTTGTACCCTACCTTACAAAGAATAATATCATCCATATGAGTTCCTGTGTTGAAATTTCACAATAAAATGGGATAGTTGATAGGAAGAGTAGACATTTTCTTGATGTACCAAAGTCTATAATGCTTTCTCACAATTTTTCAAAAGTTCTTAGGACAATTACTTACAACCATCTATTTCATTAATATTATGCCAAACAGGGTCATTAGAGTCAAATCCCGTCTCGATATTGTGATGAAAAAAATTCCCTCATGTCAGTGTTTTCTCATCCAATCTTTCTCTAAAAATATTGGTCGTCTTCTTTGTTCACATTCACTAACCAAACCGTACAAAGTTTGACCTAAAATCCTTCACTTGTATTTTTTTTAGTGTGTTTCTACAAAAAGGGACACAAGTTTTATTGTCCCATGACAAAAAAAAAATTATAACTCCAAAGATGTAATCTTCTTTGAAAACCAACCATATTACCCTAAATCTGATATTAAGGAGGAGAGTCCAGGTGAAGATTAGACTTGGGACACTACTCTGGATAGTCACACTGATTGAGAGTCATCACAATCTATTATACTTCCCTACGCAACTTGGGATTCCAACACTGATCCAAAGTTATTACAACCTATTCTCCTTCCTCTAACCACCTTGTCTCTCATGTTCCCCTAATTGAGAACATTCAACCTGAGATTGATAACACAAAACTTCATTTGTATACTAGGAGAAAGAAATTCACCGAGCGTGATAAAGATAATATGCAACTACAAGACTGTTCACAACCAAACCTAAATTCCCATATCTCTAAATTTTCAAAGGAGGTATAATCCGGTGGAGAAGATAGGGACAGTTGCACAAATTATCCTATTCAGGATTATGTTGCGTATGATAAGTTATCATCAACTTATAAATTCTTTGTATCTAATTTTGATAGTGTTAAGATACACGTCTTTTTATGAAGCACTCCAAAGTCTAAAATGGAAAAAAGGCAGTTGAAGAGGAGATTCAAGCACTTGATCTAAATGACACATGAATCTTTACAAAGTTTCTTCTTTATAACAAACCTATTGCAAAGGTGGCCTCAATGCCAACTACAACGTAGATGGGAGCATTGAGATGTTGAAGGCTAGTTTGTTGGCCAACAATTTTACTCAATCTCATGGGATAGACTATCAAGACGCATTTGCCCCGGTGACCAAATCAAACATTGTTAAGAGTTTTCCTTTCCTTGGCAATGAACAAAGAATGAGAACAACATCAATTTCATATCAAGAATGAATTTCTAATTCTAAATGGAGACTTTGAGGAAGAAGTGTATATGAAAATCCTACCAAAACCGGAAAATGACTCAAATAAACATCTGATTTGTAAAATTAATGGATACATCTAATATCAAGACCATACACTGTTCATAATGCATGCTCATGAAGGTTAGAAGGCTATACTCTTATTTTATATAGATGATATGATTCTGATTGGTGATGATGAAAAGGAGATGGGAAAATCAATTGCCACCGAATTTGAAATTAAGAATCTATGAGCGATGAGATATTTTATGGGTATGGAAGTTGTCAGTTCTAAGATGGGTATTGTGATATCCTTAAGAAAGTGTACCCTAGACATATTGAAAGGGACATGAATGCTAGGATTTAAACCTGTTGAGACTCTTATGGATTTCAGCAAAAGTTACTTTGAGAGGGAGAAGAGGCACTAGCGGAAAAAGACATACTAAAGATTAATGTGTAACATTATCTTCTGTCACACATTATACCCGATATCACTTATTCTGTCGGCATTTTGAGTCAAAATATGAATAGTCCATAAAGAATATTTGGAGATGATTTACAAAATATTGAAATTTCTTAAGAAGACCCCTGATGGAGGGTTATAGTTTAAAAAATCAGACAACAAGGAGGTAGATGTTTACACTGATGTTACTTGGGTAGAAGAACTCACTGGAAGGTCTGCTTATTGGTATTGTTCCTATGTCTGGGGAAATTTTGTCACATAGAGAGCAAGAAGCAAACAATGGTCTCTAAAAGTAATGCAAAATTTGAGTACCGGACACTTACTTTAGGAATTTGTGATAGAGTGTAGATTCAAAGTTACTAAGTGAGTTGAGATACTCTACGGTCAATGCTATAAAGATGTTCTGTGATAGCTAGACCGTCATTAGTATTGCAAAGAAGTTTGTGTATCATGACAGGACCAAACATGCTGAGATTGATAGACATTTCATCTCAAAAAATGTCAATGGAGGCATTATTCACTTAATCTACTTTCCAACTCATCTTCAAGTCGCTGACTTTTTTACTATACTCTACCTCTAGGTTGCTTCACTGATTTGAATACCAAGCTGAGCCTTTACAACATCTATGGCCCAGCTTGAGGGGGAGTTTGGAAGTATGAGTTTCCTATTTTAGTGTTATTCCTTTTTGTTCTCTTTTTGTTATGTCATATTTCTTTCCTCTTTGTGTTAATTTATGTTTGGTAAGTTGTAATTAAGTTTGCTCTAGTCGTTCCTTTTTATATAAGGAGAAGAGTTGTAATTTTATAATTGAGAAATATGATATTACAATCATCTCCACCTTTCTACAAATTGTAAGAATTGGGGGTTGTGATTTGGATACACGCCAGACTTTTTTTGTGGGGCATTGATGTGGTGCGTTGGTGGCATGGACATTATGTTTGTTTCAAGTACAAGTGGAGAGAAACAATATTTCTTTATATGCTTGGCATCCAACCAGTTAATTTCAGATTAATAAAATAAACTACATTTGTTAAAGTCATGCATTTTAAATAAATCCTTAAAAAAAAGCCTCAAATATGGGTTGTTGTATGTCTTTATATTAATTTAAGGTGCTCGTTCTGAGCAAACAATTGGAAAATAGATGGGGCTACATATAAGGTGGACAATATTGATGATATTGTTGAAGAAGGATGATAAAAATGAACCCAAAATGCTAATGAAAATAATGATCTAGATTGCAAGATATCTTTGATGTTTACATTTAAAAGAGTTCTTCTCAGTTGAGGAAAGTTATTAAACATTTGCGTTTTGTAAGATCTGCTGAAGCATCTAGTACGCTGAAAGTGTTACCTGCATGATATTTTATTTTTTTGTGTGCGTGCCGCACTATGATGGAAGATTTTATTTTGTTTTTTCATTTTATTCATATTATCTACTTCGATTTTTGGGTTGCAATGTAATGTAAATGCAGCCAACTTGATAACATTTAAAATTTTGAAGGAAATGAGCTATAAAATAAAATAACTTTACTTCAATTCCAAAAAATTAAATATGCATGCTAAGTGTTGTGTTTTCATCAAATTTTCACTCAGCTGAACAGCCCCTTAGTAAGTTTGAATTTATTGATACCAATAACATTATTAATGAGGGAAATTTACATAAGTAGCACACAATTCTTATGTATCATATCTCACACCTATGCTTACGTATTTACATAACACTTTGGTGCTTTAAAACTATGCATGAGGTGTTTTTCACTTTTAAAAAGTGGTATGAGTACTATTTTTTATGTGATGTTAAAAATTTTAATGCTGTTGTGTAAATATGAAAGCTTAGGTTTGAAGTTTGTAAATACATATTCATTTTAGCTCTGTTTTGTGCTATGTTTGTAAATGTCTCGAGTAATAAGCATTTTCTCCAGTTTGCTAATTTTATTATAGCTGCCAGGCGGTTGCATTTATTTCTTTCTGTGCTGTTACTTGGAGATGATGGCTGGCAATCAGGAGCTTGTTCTGACAGAGGAAAGGATAGTTATGCTGCAATTGTAGCTATATTCCGTAGTATTAAATGTTCAGAAGATGCTACAGACTGTGCAAGGTCTAGAGTACGTAAACATCATTTACACGATCTGATATGATATATCATCATCTTGCACAAAACATTCAATTTCTAATGTTTTTATAGGCTTTTATGCGTTAATGTAATTGTATTACTCATAAACTACAGACATCACATGCTCTTTCGGATCTTGGACTGTCAATTACAAAGAAGTTGGTTCCTGATCAAGCAGATGTTTCAGAGTTAGCTAATACAGTTTCATTGCCAGCTAGTTTATACAAAGCTTACGAGAGGGATGAAGAGAGCTCCAGGGTAAGCATTTCTATGCAGCTCTTCTATGCACCTCTCTTAGAATATATATTGCAAGGCCAGTGTTAAGCACATTCTAATTTTATTTTTCATTCTTTCTGCAAGTGTCTCTTATGGTTTTCATGAATATGTTGAATCTAAAGTGCAAAATACGAGGGTTATAATATCATTAATTGTAATAATAAAAAAAGTCTGTAAATGCATGAAATTTATGGAAACCTAAGAGAAGTGAGATGTACCGTTGGAGTAGCTCTAATTGATGAATGTGTTGGCGCTCATTTTTGGAGTTTCACTTGGGAGGGCTGGGTTCGGTGCAAACTTTGACCTATCCAGAGCTTTCAGTTTCTGCCTACTGACTCAATATAGCTCTTCCCTACTCGTATTGGAACAGCTTGGGCGGTATATATTGGTTGGCTTGATTTAAATTGTGCATTGGTTTGCCAATGAAAACTTCTACCATACCAGTAAGGAAAATGCTATTATGATTGCTGTGCAAATAAGTTTGTCCTTATTAGACACAACTATGATGTTTATTGGATGCCTGCATTCTTATAAATGTCTATAGCCTCATTCGTTCAACTCTATCAATTCACCCCACTAAACAGTATGTTTAAGTGAGAAGGTAGCATCCCACAAGACTGCGTGATCGGGCGTCCCACGATCCCTATCGCGGGATTCCTGTGATTTCAGGATTTCGTAAGCTGAATCAATTCGGCATGACTCCATCTTTTGGTAATCGTAGATCGAGTCCAGAAGCTTTATGGGAAGAAGACGAAGCTCCAAATCGGGGAGAAACGGGACGTGGGAATTTCTTGTGATGTTGTAGGCTACAATTTGCTGCTCGTGATTGTGGAATTCCGCATGGATTGCAAAATCAATCCCGCACGAGATCCTGTCCTGTAAGGATTGCGAGAATCCCACGATCGAGTAAATTTGAATGGAGCTCCGCTCCTAAATTTTTGCATATTTTCTCTTTCTTTTTTATTTCTTTCCTAATTTGCTATTTTTAATTAGTTCTGTTTCTACACGGGTTTCTCCTTGGTAGCGTGTCGTCCTCCCGGTCACATTTCCTGCTTAGAGAAAATAATAATTTAGGGCATGGTTAGTGTTAGGGTGAAAATTTGGTGGAGGTAAGAATGTTGGTTTTTGAAAATTTGGGGCCTAATATTAGGAATTGTGGTAGGAATACTTTTGGTATGGTGGGAATTATTTTTGGATTTTGTCCAGAAAAGACGAATCACTAAAAATTTTTAGTTAACCTTTATTTAATACCGTTCTAGGACTCTTAGAAGGTGTTTAAGAGGTTTAGAAATGTAGGATGGGAAGCTGGAGGATGATGTAGATTGAATTCAGCATGAATGATGACGGAACAACTATCCAAAACACCGTAAATAGAAGTTTCCTGCTGTTAGACAACTTCTTTCATTTGTTGAACAGTAGTAACAACACGAAGGATGGTTGGTCGGCTGAAAACAGTAGATAGTTGGCGTTTGGAAAGGTATCAAGGTTGAGGTTTGTTGTTGGACAACAAAATGGAAGAGTTTAGCTGCTATCTAGTTGGAAATAGTAGAACCACAAAATAGTAGAGTGCGGATATCGAGGAGGTTCACCACCTATTTTCGAATGAGCTGCAGACACACCGCTTGCAAAATGAATACAATACAATACTCCATAGGTATAAATCAGAGATTACAATCTCTAAAACTCAAACAAATCAGAAGTCTTCTCAAATTAGAAAGTAACAACATATAAATAGTCTCATGCCTGCAAGAAGCTTTAAGTAGAAACAAAATAAGAAATAAATCAAGAAAGGAAAATAAAATCACATGGAAGTTGAATTAGGAAGGAACGATATTGGCAGTTTGTGATTGATGTATTCATGCGGAATTGATTTTGCTTGTGGTATCCTGGATTCGTTGGAATCCTGTGATCGGGATTGTTGGGCGGCCCTGAGCCCATTCTAAGTTGCTTTCACATTAATTTGTTTGGAATTTTACATACCTGGCGCAAAAAATGGCTTGTGATAACTAACTCTTCTCCCGCCTAAGCTCGAAACAATAAAGACAAACAGTTTTCCTGATACTTGAGTTAATCTAAACAACAATAAGCAACAAATATTATTTCTGGAAAAACTAATTGGCGATGACAACCAACACATGGAAAGTGGAAATAATAACACATGGACATTTGAAAGTACGACAAATAATAACAACCCAAACTTGGGTGGATATTGGAGGGGTGGTGATGATCGACGAGGGTTTGGATCACCAAAGAGGTAGTAAGGGGCGGTTAGAAGGTCGGATGGTGGGGCTACAACAAGTTGGTGATGGTGTCGACAAAGGGAATGTGAGAAACTATCAGAACGACAAGTAGGCACACTGTCCAGGGCAATGGCAGCAAGGATGCGGGTTGGACAACGGCCGAATAGCAGGGCAAGCACTATTCCTGACTGCGACGACAAGGGAGGAGGGCGGCGACAATGGGTGTGTCAGCCGTTTTATTTTAAAAAGATAGTGATTTTATGATTTTTAAAGAAGAAGATATAATTTTGTAAGATATGTAAATAATTTAAATATAAATATGATTTTTTTTTTGAAAAGTAACATTTTAATTTAAAAATAGACGAGACCAAACGAGTCTCACATTTCCAAACGAGTCTCACATTTTGGTTTGGATAGTTTGGATGATGGAGCGCAATACCACAAGTAATACACTTATCTCGAAGAATAAACATATCAATTGTAGTAAGAACTCAATCATCTAGACTAAAGAATTTGTGACATTCGTTTGGTCTGTGAAATATTTTTATATGAGACCAACAAGTTCCTCTACCTAATATAAGGATTAGATAGGGTTTATTTTACCTGGATTTCAAGTTTAGCCTTTATAGTTAATTACATCTTAAATGACCAGGGTCACTTAAGAAAACTCTCGATTAAGATCAGTAGTTTTACTTTTCAGATTTCAAAGTTTAGGCTTCCACAATTAGACATGGGAAAATCAAGTGGAAGTGGCTCAAAATATGAACACTTATTTTTAAGAATCCAAATAAGTGAAAAATAGGGGATATCACAGATCCAGGGAGAACCCCGGTGACCTCTCAACTATCCTATTGTTTGGCTTTATGTCTTTGAAATGATGTTATTTAATGTTTAATCCTACAATTTATTTAGAATTTAAGACTTATGTTCACACGATATCTCATCGTGCAAATTGTCTAAAAAGATAGGAGGATTTACACCGTACCTTACGGTAACCTCGAAATCCTAAAGTGTTAGAACTTATAATTGCACAACATGGTTGTGCAAATGCCTAAAAGTGATATGTGAGGGCTTACATTGCACTAAGCAAACCACCTCGAAATCCTATGGGTTGTTATTTAAACTAAGGAAAGTGATCGGTGTTATAAATGTGTTTTGATGTTGCTCATCCACCTTGAAGTTGTTTCTTGTCGTGCTGCCCATAGTTTTAGCTCCAAAGCTCTTCGTAGTAGCACCTCCAGGTTTAATGTTAATTCTTATATAACCACTAGGTTTTCCTATACTAAGGTATACTGTATACTAAAACAAATAAAGCATGCGGTATATAAAAAAAAGGGTACAACATGCTAGCAGAACGATATGACGTGCTAGGAAATAAGCAGTATAGCATGCTAGGAAATAAGCGGTATAACATGCTAGGGAAAAGCGATATAACGTGCTAGGAAATAAAAATACTGCAATGTAAATCACACCTGTAAATTTGGGAAGTCTGATGCTCCTTTAAACTAGCTATTATTCACTGTATAAACAAAAGAAAACGTTGCCTGGAAAACTCGAGAAAATCGACGAAGAAGCCACGATGGAAAACTCGAGAAAATTGACGAGCAACAATTCAAATAAAACTACCAAAATCTCAGGAAAATTACGGAGAAAAGACCACGAGTGCTTTGTTCAAAAATTTCGATAAAACAAACGAAAAATCCGAAAAGAGGGGACCGCAAGCACTCGGGTCGGGGCTAGACTCAGATATATATTTGTACTCGAGGGATGTCGAAGACTAATCGGTCACCCGGATGTATAAAGTCCGCCACTCCACTAGAGGGATATCCTACTGAACCTAACTTAGAAGGATACTCCTTAGCTCAAAATCGGTAATCAACAAGTGGACAACTCAGTTGTAATATATGTAAAATTTAAATTTTAGCATGCACATGCATTTCAGGCATACAAAAGGAAAGTTGTATTTAATTTTGTAATGAAAATATTTTTTATAAATATTATATCTGTTCTTATCAATTTTAAAAGAAAGTATAGTCCACAAATCGATCACGTCATCGGACCTAGGACTACCAACATCCTAAGAAGGTACGGGTCCTCTAGTTTTATGTCGGTGAATGATAATTTTATTCTACAGTTCATCAGGTCCCATAATTGAGTTCTGATGTTGTAGGATGAGATATCATTCAGCTCTACCATCGACGTGCCTTTCTTTTTTGTCATCATTGCCCTACGCCCCAAAAACAAAACCGACCTACTTTGACCTTGCTTGATGGTTTCACATATAGCAAAAGACTATACATGAGCACTTATATGAGCACTTATGTATCGGATTATGTATCGGATATAAGCACAGAAAATCGAACCAAGAAGCAAGGAAAAAAAATAAAAATGGAGATGAGAGGAGGAATTGATCCACCCAAAAGATCGAAAGACAAAAAGGGTGAGACAATCCTCAAAAGAGAGCTCAAGATCCTTGAATCAATCCAAAAATGATATCATTTTTTCAAATTTTATTAATTGGATCAAGCTAAGGAGGGTATCCTTTCCAAATAGCAATTTAATGAATTTTCAAACCCTTCATGAATTCAATTTATATCAACTTCATGATTTCTCGAAATAAAATTTCAAGAACTTTTCATATGTCACAAAGCGAAAGAGAGTAATCCATAGGAAATAACTTTCTAAATTTCGAAAAGCCATGTCAATATCAAATTCATTCCATTCCATCTTTAATCAACAGTT